TCCCACCCAGGAAGCAGCCAGAAACCTTTTCCTCTCTCTCAGGCTTCCATCTTTAAGTGTCTTTTCCACTGCCTGGTTCATTGAGGATGAGGATAATGTACACCTATCATCAGAAACGAGTGCAGAGTCCATGGAATAGAAGTTGCACCTCAAAAGCATTTCTGTCCCTCTTATTCTTTGTAGGCAGTGTCAGAGTGACTGACAAGCTGAGATACAACCCATCATCATCCAATTATAGCCATTGCATGAATCTTCCCAGTCAAACGACCCATTTTCATGATAGACAGTCCCTGTGGCTGGAGGCTCTACAGACAGGATGTGCCTATACAGGCCCAAGACTGCCAGTATTAGCACAGGCGAGGTGTGTGACCCCCCCAAATTTACAGACTATGGGTGAATGAGAGTTTGTGGGTGGGATTATCGTTTACGGCAACCCTGTTGCTCCCACAAGGGAGCACCCAGGGGTCAGAACACTCATCCCCCAACACCTTGTTTTGGATATGGCCCAGGAGGAAGGAGGGGAACCACTGCACAGCAGGGCCCCCAGCTCCCCTAGAGGGTCCAGAAGGATACCATGATCAAAGGTCTCCAAAGCCGCTGAGAGATCCAGCAGAACCGAGGGGCCACTAGGGGCGCATCAGAAGATGGCTGACAATAACATCTCTCCGACCCACACGAGGTAATTTGGAGGCTGTGATGGGAGTAAATAGCCTCCCTACCCCCCCCCCAGGATTGTGGGGGGGGACTGCCCTTGCCTGCTGTGCCCTATACCACCCCCGAATTTGTGAGGATGGGGGCACTAGGCACAATGCCCTCCTGTGGGATTTCAGCGCTCCTGGACGCCATCTCTGTTCCGCGCCACTAGCTGCAAGAACTTCAAAAGAAACAATTTGGATGAAGCGAATGCACATATTTCAAGGAAGGAGGGGGAGTAAAGACTGCTAACAGAAGAGAAACAAGACGAGTCGGAGGAATAAATCATGAGAAGATACGCCAAGACTCAGTATGGCAAAGGGACTGATGGGGGAGGGGGGGAAACTTTCCTTTCTTTCCTTTATGTGATTAAACAAGAATCCCCCCCCCTCACAAGTCAGAAATGTCATTTTAAGGACTTAAGCTGTGGATTTAAGGCTGTGTGGAGATAAACTTTCGAACCAAAGCATGTTTTGAGAAGAGCGTGGAATGTATAAGGGCTTTGGAATGACGCAGTTAAAAGTGGCGTTGCCATATTGGGAAGTTCTGTCGGAGGACTTAAGTCTGGGAGGAGAAATAGAGAAATAGAGCTGTTTTTATATTGTGGGTGAAACTCCTCAGAGGGACTTAAGAACGACAGTTCTGTAATTAAAGATGGAAAGAGCGACGTTATCTATGAAGGCGATGATATATGGAAACCATCGCGATTTGAGGACTGGAAGAACGGAAAAATTCACACAGGATTATTATTGGTGTTTATCGGCTTAAGGAGACTATCAGAAGAGATCATAAAGAAAAAAGAGAAAATATATGAACAAGATGTGATGTGGAAACAGCAAGATAAGACTGGATAGAATTATGAACTTTGTTTGGACTGATTTGGACATTAACGCAGTAGCAAGAAGATGATCAGAATCCCCCTTCGGATCTTGAAATATGGGTCCCCTCAACAAAATTTAAAATTCGGCTTTGTAATTCGGAATTTATGTGATGTGATTTGATTTCATTGGCCGGTTAATAAAAAATATTTTTTTTTAAAAAAAGAGAGATCCAGCAGAACCAGGAAACAGTTTTCCCCTCGGACTCTAGCGCATCGGAGATCATCATTGAGCAGAACCAGCGCAGTTTCAGTCCCATGATGAGGCCTGAATCCCAATTGGCAGGATAATGGTGGAAGAAGCTTTCCTGGTCCTCCACCCCAAAAAGCTCCAGGCACAATACTTTATTAGCTTTGAAGGGGCCATCGGATAGTTGGTGGTCTTTTCTTCAAAGGACAAATATTCTGAATACTTTTTAATTGATGTATGATATAAACAGCACTTCTGTTTTACATATTCCACATTGGAGAGATTTTGATACACAGGTCTGAGTTCATCGCTCCCTCTGAAACTGCTGTTAGCAGCACTGTCTGGGCAGTGTGTTTGGGGGTCCTGGGCTGCCTAGACAACAAGACCCCCTTCTCAGCCTGGCTTATATGTGTTGGGATACTGCCAGGGAGACAAAGTCCATCATGGCCCCACAAGCCATCTCCGGACGTCCATCGATCTCCCGTAGACACGCAGTATCAGCAATTAGCGACACGAGCTCCAGAAATAGCTTGCCACATTCCCGAGCTGATGCACGCTCTATCAGCAGATAATGCACAGCGAAAGATGCACGCAGGAGAGCATTATTTATGAGTTTATTCAGCGTTGATCAGAACAAAGAAAACATGACTGCCTGCTTCAGTGTCTCAGACACAGAGAGAGAAACGAAAGCATAGACACAACAGAAACATCCTGTGAACAGGAAATACGCAGACTCTGTGACTCACAAAGCCTGCTCCCTTTTAAGGTGGAACGGAAATATCCTAACAATATGTTCCCAAAGAAAGCAGAGCAGTATGTTAGGCACCAGCTTGGCTGCAGGAGTGGCTGGGAAGGAGGTGTGCAGGGCACCATCCAACCGTCTTAGAGAGTCCACTCTGGATTTGTGTAGGTTTTCCTTCATAGCCTTTTCTTCTCCTGAAGATAACTCGGGAGGCAGCAAAGTATTACGACCAGAGTTTTCCTTCTCAATGGGCTCCCTTCTCAGGTGGACGTGCCCCATCTGTCCTTCACTTTCCTCAGCAGCATGGGCAGAATCTGCCTGAAATTGCTGTGTTAGCAGCAATGGAAGCCTGCGCTGTGTGTTTGGGGGTCCTGGGCTGCCTAGACAACAAGACCCCCTTCTCAGCAGAGCAGTATGTTAGGCACCAGCTTGGCTGCAGGAGTTGATGGCAGGAGGTGTGCAGGGCACTATCCAAGCATCTGAGAGACTCCACTCGAGATTTGTGTAGGTTTTCCTCCATAGCATTTTCTTCTCCTGAAGATAACTCACGAGGCAGCAACGTATTACGACCAGAGTTTTCCTTCTCGATGGGCTTCCTTCCCTTTCCTCTGCAGGATGGGCAGAATCTGCCTTCTTGACTGTGGGATTCACTGTTGTTCTCATCCTGTCCATCCACCAGGGCCTTTCTTCATCTGCAACAGAATTCCCCAACCAACCAAGGATTTGAGACCCATCAGCTATCCTCACCGGGTTTTGCCAGCCGGTTGAAGCCATTCCTGGGATTGTGGCCTCTGTTGCATGCTGACAGCTTCTGGAAGGCACAGGTGAGAGCTGAGTGCAGGGTGGGGACCAATGGTGGATAGATTACCCAAGAAGGTGCATGACATTTCCCCCACCAAAGGTACCGCCTCTCCTCTAACACCCCAAGACATCCTATAATTATGATACTTAAGACAAATGAGGAATAAATTCTTGTCTCCAGAGATAACACAACTTCAGACCATCAATGAATCAATACCATATATTCAAGGCTGAAGTATCCACTAAGTACAGTTATTTCTTTGCCTTTAATATCCAGGTTTTTCAGTGCCAGATTAGGATAGTCCTGCGTCAGAAGAGGGGCACGAGATCAGGCAGCACGTCATCATTAAAAAGAACGAATAGGGTGGGTGTTTCCGTCTGGGATTCCCATTTGCCAGCTGCTTTCCTTCCGCTTCTCCTGCTCTCTCCATGCGATGTGAGGCATGTAGACAGAGGTCCATCTCCAAGAACAGGAGCTTCCCTGAGCATCCATTCAGCTGACCCCAAGCACCAAGCCTTGTCACTAGTTCTCTGACTGACCCAGACCACAGTCCCCAGAAAAGATGTAGACCTGGGTCTCACAAAATGGTTCATATGGACCTCCTGTGGCCAATGGGACTGTGCAGGTGATTCATGAAGATCTAGAGGTGGATGGAGGATTATGATGCCGAGGATGGGAAATGTCCAAAGGAACGATGCACCAGAGAAAGAGAGGGCCTGTTCATGGAAAGAGAGCAGCTGCCTTTCCTTGTGAGGAAACAATTGATTTGAAAAGGCTGTATTCCAAGATCATGCTGCTTTATTAACGATGATTGAGGATTATGAAAGGTTGTTGATGCATTACTATCATTTGATGACACTGCATCTTCATTTCCTCAAAACTGGGAACATGGGTAGGAGGCGGGGGAATGTAGGAGATGTTGAAATAAGAAAAGGTGCTAATGGAGCTTGATGTGCTCACTTTCCGTTTATTCTCTTCCTTGAAACTCAAACAGGATTTCCTCCAAGAGGGGAGAAACCACTGAAAGGTATGGAGTGTGGAAAGAGTTTCACTGATAGTGGAAAATGTAGAGCACATCACCAGACTCACATGGGCAAGAAAAAATTTCAATGCACAGAGTGTGGAAAGAACTTCAGTCAGAGTGGACATCTAAGTCTACATCAATGGACTCACACAGGGGAGAAACCATTTAGAATCATAGAATCATAGAATCATAGAGTTGGAAGAGACCACAAGGGCCATCGAGTCCAACCCCCTGCCAAGCAGGAAACACCATCAGAGCACTCCTGACATATGGTTGTCAAGCCTCTGCTTAAAGACCTCCAAAGAAGGAGACTCCACCACACTCCTTGGCAGCCAATTCCACTGTCGAACAGCTCTTACTGTCAGGAAGTTCTTCCTAATGTTTAGGTGGAATCTTCTTTCTTGTAGTTTGGATCCATTGCTCCGTGTCCGCTTCTCTGGAGCAGCAGAAAACAACCTTTCTCCCTCCTCTATGTGACATCCTTTTATATATTTGAACATGGCTATCATATCACCCCTTAACCTCCTCTTCTCCAGGCTAAACATGCCCAGCTCCCTTAGCCGTTCCTCATAAGGCATCGTTTCCAGGCCTTTGACCATTTTGGTTGCCCTCCTCTGGACACGTTCCAGTTTGTCAGTGTCCTTCTTGAACTGTGGTGCCCAGTTTAAATGTATGGAGTGCAGAAAGAGCTTTAGTGATAATGCACTCCTTAGAACACATCAACGGACTCACACAGGGGAGAAACCATTTAAATGCATGGAGTGCTATAAAAGCTTCCGTCAGAGTGGACACTTAAGTTCACATCAACGGACTCACACAGGTGAGAAACCTTTTAAATGTATGGAGTGTGGAAAGAGCATCAGTCAGAATGGAAACCTTAGAAAACATGAACAGACTCATACGGGTGAAAAACCATATGAATGTATGGAGTGTGGAAAAAGCTTCCATTTCAATGCAAACCTTAGAACACATCAACGAACTCACACAGGGGAGAAACCATTTAAATGCATGGAGTGTGGAAAGAGCTTCAGTCAGATTGGAAACCTTAAATTACACCAACGGACTCACACAGGTGAAAAACCATATAAATGTATTGATGCACGTGAACGTAAGCAGGTACTCTCTTGGCGTTAATAAGGATCAGGCAGACGCAGCAATGGAGAATTAGAAAGTGAAGTTTATTGCCAGGCAATAAGGACCCAGTTTGGAATCTCTTCCAAAAGCAACTGGGACCCCGATTGACAGAAATCCAGAGGTCTTTATACCTGAGCAGATCACAGCAAATCATAGACCATGAGGCAGTCATGATATCGCCAGCGAAAATTAGCCAATTAGCAAGCTTCTTGCCATGCTTCCAGCTCCTGGCCAAGCACTGGTCAAGCACTGAGTTCTGCTTTCCGTTGCTTGCAGTGACGCTCTGTCTAACCTCTCCCCTAGTTATGACAGGACAGGGAGTATTGGAGTTTTTGTGGTTTAGCTCTTCCTGTTCCAGTGGATTAATTTAGCCTCTATTTGAGGGGATTTTGCAGCAGTATCTCTGATTCACGTCTTCCCCTTGTTCAGAGTACACGGATGTTTGTAGGGGAAAGGTCAGCTCCTAATTTTGCTGTTTCAAGCAGTTTGCAGTTAGCTAAGTCACAGCTTCCCTTTGATTCAAAATGGATTATAAAATACTGTAAGCCCTGATTATGTGTGAGCGTATATGAATATATTGATTACTGATAACTGATTATATGAATAGCATAAGGGTAGCCCTTCTTCCTTGCCTCAGTATGGAGTGTGGAAAGAATTTCAGATTTAGTGGAGCCCTTAGAACACATGAAGAGACTCACATAAGTAAAAAACGATTTAAATGCATGGATTGTGGAAAGTGTTTCAGTCAGAGTGCACACCTTAGAACACATCAACGGACTCACACAGGGGAGAAACCATTCAAATGTATGGAGTGCGGAAAGAGCTTCAGTGACAGTTCAAGACTCCATTTACATCGACGAACACACACAGGGAAGAAACCATTTAAATGTATTCAGTGTGGAAAGAGCTTCAGTCAGACTGGAAACCTTAGAATACATCAACAGACTCACACTGGGGAGAAGCCATTTAAATGCACGGAGTGTGGAAAGAGCTTCAGTCAGAGTGGACACCTCAATATACATCAACGGACACATACAGGGGAGAGATCATTTTAATGAATGGAGTGCTGAAAAGTTTCAGTAAGAGTGAAAATCTTAGAGGAAGACATCTACAGACACAGAGGGGGGAAAGCACTTATGGCTTCAGTCAGAGTGAAACCCTTGATTTACGTCAACAAACTCACACAACAGACAAACAACATAAATGTCAAGAAGAACTTTATTTTTTTTTAAGATATTTATTGAGATTTTCAAAATGTTACAATATAAAAATGAAAAAGAAAAAGAAAATACAAAATAAAAATGATTAAAAACCACTCAATTTTTCCATTGCTTATTTTTCCTTAGCTTGTTTCCCGGACCTCCTCATACCTCCCTTTTTTGTATTCCAGTTCAATTTGTTGGTTCAGCAAATCCTTACCCTCTTTATTTATCCTAATCTTTGGTCTTAAAATAGTAACGTTAGATTTTTACTTATTAACAACCCATTTTTCATATTCCCTTAAAGCATTACAGCTGGAAACCACTTAATTTCTATCCAACATCATTCTAACATTCATTAATTTTACAATATTTCTGTAGATAGTCTTTGAATTTCTTCCAATCTTCTTCCACCGACTCTTCTCCCTGGTCTCGGATTCTGCCAGTCATTTCTGCCAGTTCCATATAGTCCATCACCTTCATCTGCCATTCTTCCAAAGTGGGTAGATCTTGTGTCTTCCAATACTTTGCAATGAGTATTCTTGCTGCTGTTGTAGCATACATAAAAAAAGTTCTGTCCTTCTTTGGCACCAATTGGCCGACAATGCCCAGAAGCACAACATTCTAATTATCGCTTCCAGTGCTGTTGCCTCTGGTGTGTCCATTCCTGCAACATCACAAAAGGGACAGCCATTAACAGAATGGGTTCAGCCCTGACACTGGCACCAGGTACTTTGCAAACACATAAATAACAAACACATCACTATCACCCTCCACTTCACAAAGGATCCTTAGCTGTAACCTCACGCTGGGGCACCTCCTCTCTGACGTCCTCCGTGACAGATCTACGAGGGCGGTATAAGGTGGGGTGGACAACCTTTTCTGACATTTATAAAAGTATGGTCTTTCTTTTGTTCAGAGTTCCCACCTTCCTGCAGAAGGTCTATTAATAAAAGATCAGGGAGGATGCGGGTGGCACTGTGGTCTATGTGTGAATCTTCAGGGAGACAGAAGAGGATATATTGTTTAATAATATCCTATCTAACTTGCGCTAGGAACTTCTATAACTTAGCAGAGTTTTGCATTTTCCTATTAAACTCTCAGTCACCACTCTAGCTGCCACATTCTGGATTAATTGCAGTTTCCGGGTTACCTTCAAAGGTAGCCCCACATAGAGTGCATTATAGTAGTCCAAGCAGGAGATAACTAGAGCATGCACCACTCTGGTGAGACAATCCGCGGGCAGGTAGGGTCTTAGCCTGCGTATCAGGTGGAGCTGGTAGACAGCTGCCCTGGACACAGAATTGACCTGCACCTCCATGGACAGCTGTTAGTCCAAAATGACTCCCAGGCTGCTCACCTGGTCCTTCAGGGAAACAGTTACCCCATTCAGGACCAGGGAGTCCTCCACACCTGCCCGCCCCCTGTCCCCCAAGAACAGTTCAGGATTCAACCTCAATCTGTTTGCTGCCATCCATCCTCCAACCACTTCCAGACACTCACACAGGACCTTCACTGCCCTCACTGGTTCTGATTTAAAAGAGAGGTAGAGCTGGGTGTCATCCGCATATTGATGAACACCCAGCCCAAATCCCCTGTTGATCTCTCTCAGCGGCTTCATGTAGATGTTGAAAAGCATGGGGGAGAGGACAGAACCCTGAGGCTCCCCACAAGTGAGGTCCCAGGGCTCTAAACACTCATCCCACAACACCACTTTCTGAACACGGCCCAGGAGGAAGGAGCGGAACCACTGTATGACAGTATCCCCAGCTCGCAGCCCCTAGACGGTCCAGAAGGATGTTATGGTAGATGGTATCAAAAGCCGCTGAGAGATCCAGCAGAACTAGGAAACAGCTCTCACCTTTGTCCCTAGCCCTCTGGAGACTCCTTTTGCATCTAGAAGCGCTATTAAATGTTGCTTCCAGGGCACAAAATTTTATTCATTCAGCATAGGCATTTCTTGCCCTGCATCACTATCAAAAGCTACACTAGCCCTCTCAAAATTCAAAAATTTGGAAATATTCAAAATTTCAAAAGCTGTCAAAATTTCAAAATCAAAATAGCAAAAAATCTCAAAATACAAAACAAATCTCCACTGCCTTAGGTCACTGTGAACTCTGAGGGAATGGGGGGGGGTTTGCTTAATCCCCACTACACTATGGAACAAAGGACCATGTGCTTACCAGGAAGTATGCTCAGAAAAATACTTTTCAGCTTAGAATCTCAATCCTTTGCAATCCTTCAAAAATACGCAATGCTGGGGCCAATAACCCTTTGTGGGAATGTTCAGAGAGGCAGGAGAGGATATATTGTTTAATATACTTCCTAACTTGTGCTAGCAAGTTCTATAACTTAGCAGAGTTTTGCATTCCCCTTTTAAACACACTGTGGTTAGCTTGTTGCAAGCTTGTTTAAGCTTCTCAATATAAGATTCCTGGTAATTTCCCTATTCTTAAAAAGAATAGACACAACATAATCTTGTGTAAAGTATATAAAAGAAGTTTACTTACACATTCAGTTCACAGATGGATCCCTGAAGGCAGACTTAGTTACAAAGTATATACACGTGGATCTACCTCATATGAGGGGTTGATCCCAGTGACTGCAGACTGTCAGTCACTGCAGCTCACATGGCGAAAGCAAGATGGAGAAAGAGAGAGGGGGTGCTGCTTGCCCTGTGCTTTTGTTACCTGCACAGGTAGGGTCACGCCCACCTCTAGTCACATGCTAAAGGAAGTTTGTCTCAGTCAGAAGGAAACAGGATGTTTTCGACTGACTGGACCAAACATCCCCTCGCATGCCCAATCTAGGAAAACTAGGAATGTTGTACTTGACTGCTATCTATGTATCACAGTCTAAACCACTGAGCCTCTTGGGCTTGCTGACCAGCGGTTCGAATCCCCAAGACGGGGTGAGCTCCCATTGCTCTGTCCCAGCTCCTGCCAACCTAGCAGTTCGAAAGCATGCCAGTGCGAGTAGATAAATCGGTACCGCTGCGGTGGGAAGCTAAATGGCGTTTCAGTGCACTCTGGTTTCCGTCACGGTGTCCTGTTGTGCCAGAAGCGGTTTAGTCATGCTGGTGACGTGACCCAGGAAGCTGTCTGTGGACAAACGGCGGCTTCCTGGGCCTGAAAGCAAAATGAACGTCACAAACCCATAGTCACCTTTGACTGGACTTAGCAGTCCAGGGGTCCTTTACCTTTTTTACCTTAATAAAAGATCAGACTTAGCAGCCGCTTTGCTCCAGCATTACTCTGGTTGGTCTCTGTTAGTTTCTCCAACCGATGGGAGACTTACGGTTTCCTAGACGGGCTCCTCGTGCATCCCTTAAGAAGGAGCTGTTTTACGATCTTTTTCACCATCATCCCTGACCACTAGTCTTGCTAGCTAGGGAGCTGTAGTCCAAAAACAGCTGGAGACCCAAGTTTGGGAAACCCTGTTCTCCCTGAAGGACAAAGGAGCGTTCACTTGCATCAGAACGTCAGATGAGCCCTGCAGGATCAGGCCCAAGGGGCCCCTGTGGAGGGACTGCAGCTTCCCCGCACGTGAAGGAGCTGTAGGGTGAAGGTGCCGTAGGAGCCATGGGGAGGCAGGCAGTATGTGGGGGGGGGGAGTGGAGGAACCAGCGAGAAGGCGTTTCTGGAGCCTCTACAGCCCCCTCCCCACCTACTCCCTCAAGGTTTCCTCTCGCCTTCTCATTTCAAGGATTGGGGCATCTCAGCCCCCCGGGGTTGCTTGGCTTGGGGGGCGGGGATCTATTTTGTTTGCTGAGGGCAGGAGTCATAATCCTGTCACATTGTGGGTGTCAGGCTTTTAGTTAAGGGGGTGAGGCTCAGGTGGGAAAGAGTTGAGAAGGAAAATATCCCGGGGTGTGGATTTACTTTGCTGCCCAGCTCCTCAGGTTCCCACTCCTAGCAGGTCTCTCTGGGGTCAGCAAAAGAAGGAGCCTCCAGCCAAATTAAAGATGCAAAACAGCAGTCAGTTAACCTAATCTTTATTTGTTGCAACAAGGTTCAAACACACCAAGAGTAGGAACCCTGAGCATGGGTTTTCACGTACTTTTAAGACCTCTCCCCACTTCCCATAATACACTACCAACAGCATCATTGATACGTCACAAATATGTCACAAAGTAGGAGTCTTTGGCATTTAGAAACATGAGTCTGTCACCCATCCCTTCAATATCCCCAGTTTCCCACACATTTTAACTTCCCTCTTCCCCAAAGAATGTTGTTGTTTAGTCCTTTAGTCATATCCGACTCTTCGTGACCCCCTGGACCAGAGCACACCAGGCCCTCCTGTCTTCCACTGCCTCCCGCAGTTTGGTCAAACTCCTGTTTGTAGCTTCAAGAACACTGTCCAACCATCTCGTCCTCTGTCGTCCCCTTCTCCTTGTGCCCTCCATCTTTCCCAACATCAGGGTCTTTTCCAGGGAGTCTTCTCTTCTCATGAGGTGGCCAAAGTACTGGAGCCTCAGCTTCAGGATCTGTCCTTCCAGTGAGCACTAGGGCTGATTTCCTTCAGAATGGAGAGGTTTGATCTTCTTGCAGTCCATGGGACTCTCAAGAGTCTCCTCCAGCACCAGAATTCAAAAGCATCAATTCTTCAGCGATCAGCCTTCTTTATGGTCCAGCTCTCACTTCCATACATCACTACTGGGAAAACCAGAGCTTGAACTATACAGACCTTTGTCGGCAAGGTGATGTCTCTGCTTTCTAAGATGCTGTCTAGGTTTGTCATTGCTTTTCTCTCAAGAAGCAGGCATCGTTTAATTTCATGACCATCTGCAGTGATCATGAAGCCCAAGAAAGTAAAATCTCTCACCGCGTCCATTTCTTCCCTTTCTATTTGCCAGGAGGTGATGGGACCAGTGGCCATGATCTTCGTTTTTTTGATGCTGAGCTTCAGACCATATTTTGCGCTCTCCTCTCTCACCTTCATTAAAGGTTTCTTTAATTCCTCCTCACTTTCTGCCCTCAAGATTGTGTCATCTGCATATCTGAGGCTGCTGATATTTCTTCCAGCAATCTTAATTCCAGCTAGGGATTCATCCAGCCCAGCCTTTCGCATGATGAATTCTGCATATAAGTTAAATAAGGAGGGAGACAATATACAGCCCAAAGAACCATAATAGTATTTACCCATCTCCCGAGCTGCAAGGCTTTAATGGGCTTCTCCTTTGAAAGTATCAGGAGTCAACCCACCATCCCGATGGATTTCTGCCTGGGGCATGTGCTGCCCTTGACCGCCTCCTGCCTCCTAAGGGATTATGGAGTCAGGGGGAGCCCTGGATCCCCCAATTCCAGAGGAGTCATTAGGCTTTGGAACCCAGGAAATCCGTCAAACCGTTGAATGTTGGCGATTATTTGAAGCTTCTTCAGTTTTCTATACAGTATTGGATAGTCGGAGGAAACAGTCCGATTCATGGTATCGGCTTATTGCTACAATTTTATAGGTTGCTTTTCTGAGCCTCTGCTGTTGTGCATGGATGGCGCCTGTGTCAATGGTCATTGTCCTGGCCTTACTTAGAGGCTGCGTTGGGGACTTGGGGTTTTTGGGGAGTCGTTTAACCGCCCCCCCATTCCTGGTGTTAATAGCACCAATACCTAAAACGTGGACGGATCTAAGTTCATGGCGTGGGGTGGGGGAGGGAAGAAATTTGCAATGTAAACACTGTTTGTGCGGGATCCCACTTTGCAATTGGATTGATGGGATCAGCCACCCTCTTGCTCTCCTGATCCCCAGAAAGAGGAGGGGAGGGGGGAACCTTCCTCTCCTCCCCCCCCACTCAAACCTTCCCTCCCCTCCCGGCACATTCTCCTCTCACCCTGCCCCCACCATCCCAAATCCCTCCCCCAATACATTGCTCCTCCTCCTCCTCCAATCCGGCTTCTGCTCCGGGAATGGGGGGGGGTGAGCCCCCCTCCCAACCTGCCTGCTTCTGCCGGACGTGGAGCTTCCACTCCGGATTGCTGCTCTGACCCATAGCTCTAGGGGCGCGCTTTCGGAAAGGGGAGGAGGGGCGACAGGGAAACCCCCCCCCCCGGATGTTGCAGGAAAGGAAAGGAGAATCGGGAGGGAGGACAAAGAGGTAAAGGGGTCGCGGAGGAGAGGGGAGAGAAGGATCCAGAGACCCCCGCCAGCTCCCCAAAGCGCCTTCCGTGGGCCCCGTGGCAGGGCCTGGATCCCAGCACGCGTGCTGCAAAGGTGGCTTTCCTTGGCCCCTTAGGCGCCTTGGCAGGGGCGGACATGGGGCCTCCACCCAGGGAGTCCCCACGAGGGCCCCGTTTCCCATACGCAGGCATCCCCCGGGCGCTGTGGGGTTCCCGGGAAGAGAGTCGGGCCTTGAAAGGGTTAACGGGCGCTACAGACCCCACCCCCGTCCCTCCCCATCTCGTCTTGGGGTGGCCCCTCCGGATGGAAAGATGGGGCGCGCATGGCGAGGGTTGGGCCGGGCCAAGGGGGCCTCTGGGTGCAGGGGAGACTCTGGGAGAGAGGGAGGGGGTCGAGGAAGTGGGGGGAAGGGAGGGGGCATCCCAGCACCAATGGGGGGGGAGAGCTAGGAAGACCAGTCTTTGGGGAGACATCTCCATCGTGGTGCCCGCAGGGATTCTCTGGAGGGGCCACCTTGGCTTCTCCCTCCCTCCCAGGAATGGGACACCCCTTCAAGGCGACCAGAGTGGGATCCCTGGAAAGTGGGGGGTCGTGTCCCCCCACCCCTTCATTCCTGCAAGCTCCATCCTCTTCCCACCCCATAAGTCCCTGCCCTGCCCAGACGCAGTGGTTCCTCCAATTCCATCCATTGGTCCCCCTGGAGAGGAGAGGAAATCCCAAGAGGAAGAGGGGAGGGGAGAGGCCTTCTCAGAAGCGGCTCTATGTTTCCGTAATCCCACCCAGGAAGCAGCCAGAAACCTTTTCCTCTCTCTCAGGCTTCCATCTTTAATTGTCCTTTCTTGAGGATGAGGATAATGTACACCTGTCATCAGAAATAGGGGTGCAGAGTCCATGGAATGGCTCTCAGGATTGATACAGAAGCTGCACCTCAAAAGCATTTCTGTTCCTCTTATTCTTTGTAGGCAATGTCAGAGTGACTGACAAGCTGAGATACAATCCATCAGCATCCGATGACAGCGACTGCATGAATCTTCCCAGTCAAAGGACCCATTTTCATGATAGACAGTGCCTGTGGCTGGAGGCTCTACACACCGGGTGTGCCTGTGCAGGCCAAAGACTGCCAGTATTAGCACAGGTGAGGTGTGTGACCTCCCCAAATGTACAGACTGTATGTGAATGAGAGTTTGTGGGTGGGATTATAGTTTATGGCAACCCTGTGATTTTCTCCACCCATAACATTTTGTAAGCTAATATTGCAGTATGAATTTCAAAATAACTTTAAAAAATCACAAGATGATGATGATAATAATAATAATAATAATAATAATAATAATAATAATAAAATTTTATTTATACCCCACCCTCCCCAGCCAAGGCCGTGCTCAGGGGGATGAAAAGAATGATTGCAGAATTTATGCCCTGCCCATCTGGTTGGGTTTCCCCAGCCACTCTGGGAAGCTTACAGTACATATACAAGACAGTAAAACATCCAACATTAAAAACCTCCTGATACAGCTGTCTTCTAAATGTCCGATAGTTGCCTACCTCCTTGCCCTCTGAAGGGAGGGCATTCCATGGGGCAGGAGGCCCTCTGCCTGGTTCTCTGGAACTTCACTTCTAGCAGCAAGGGAACCAGCAGAAGACCCTCGGAGGAGGACCTCCTTGTCCGGACTGAGCGATGGGGGTCAAGATGCTCCTTCAGGTCCACAGCGCCGAGGCTGTTGAGGGCTTTAGGTTGCAGATCTTGCTCCTCCATAACGATCTCCAGAGCAAGTGTGAGATATAATTAGCAGAGTAGCAAAAAACGCTCTGAGGCAGAAAAAAATAATTCAGCTGAGAAATCTATTACAGTGGTACCTCTGGTTACGAACGGGATCTGTTCTGGAGGCCAGTTCGCAACATGAGCAGAATGCAACCCACATCTGTGCATGCATGGGTCACGATTCGCTGCTTCTGCAAATGTGCGTGACCTGATTTTGCACGTCTGCGCATGCACGAGCGGCAAAACCCGGAAGTAACTGGGATGCCACGGGACACAACCCGAAAAGGCACAACCTGAAGCAAACATAACATGAGGTATGACTGTACTGAAGACAGATAAGCATTACAGGATCCAAAAATAGCAAAAATGTAACTTACAGTAAAGCCCTAACTTAGCAAACCAAAACAGCACTCAAGTAAGAAACAGACAAGCGGAGTAGAGTAATATCAGAATAGGAAGTGGGAGCAGGCGCATTTCAATACTGTAATTTATATATAATTCAATGTCAGAGAAACCCTGGGACTAGATAACAAGCCTCCAGGTGGACGTGCCCCACCTGCCCTTCACTTTCCTCTTCCGCACGGGCAGAATCTGCCTTCTGGACTGTGGGATTCACGGTTGTTCTCCTCCTCTCCATCCACCAGGGCTTGACTTCAGGTGCAGCAGAATTCCCCAGCCCCCCAAGGATTTGAGACCCATCAGCTTTCCTCACCTGGTTTAGCCGGCCGGTTGAAGCCGTTGCTTGAACCCCTGTTGCATGCTGACAGCTTCTGGAAGCCACAGGTGAGAGCTGAGTGCAGGGTGGGCACCAAGGGTGGAAAAATGACCCCAGGAGGTGCAGGACATGTCCCCCACCTAAGGAACTACTGCTCCCCAACACCCCATGACATCTAGATTCAGGTAGGTAGCCGTATTGGTCTGACACAGTTGAATTAAAAAATTAAAAAATAGTCCAGTAGGACCTTAGAGACCAACTATGATTGTTCTAGATATAAGCTTTTGTGTGCATGCACACTTCTTCAGATACACTGAGACAGATGTCACCAGACCCTTGTATATCGTGGGAGGGTGGGGTGGGGTTTTGCTCTGAAGGGTACTCCTACTACCATCTCCCACTACCCATCACTATATGAAGAAGTGTGCATGCACACAAAAGCTAATGCCTAGAACAAAATTAGTTGGTCCCTAAGTTGCTGTTGTTGTTGTTGTTGTTTAGTCGATTAGTCGTGTCCGCCTCTTTGTGACCCCTGGACCAGAGCACGCCAGGCACTCCTGTCTTCCACTGCCTCCTGCAGTTTGGTCAAACTCATGCTGGTCGCTTCAAGAACACTGTACCATCATCTCGTCCTCCGTCGTCCCCTCCTCCTTGTGCCCTCCATCTTTCCCAACATCAGGGTCTTTTCCAGGGAGTCTTCTCTTCTCATGAGGTGGCCAAAGTCTTGGAGTCTCAGCTTCAGGATCTGTCCTTCCAGTGAGCAGTCAGGGCTGATTTCCTTCAGAATAGAGAGGTTTGATCTTCTTGCAGTCCATGGGACTCTCAAGAGTCTCCTCCAGCACTATAATTCAAAAGCATCAATTCTTCGGCGTTCAGCCTTCTTTATGGTCCAGCTCTCACTTCCATACATCACTACTGGGGAAAAGAGAGCTTTAACTATACGGACCTTTGTTGGCAAGGTAATGTCTCTGCTTTTTAAGATGCTGTCTAGGTTTGTCATTGCTTTTCTCCCAAGATCCTAAGGTGCTACTGGACTATTTTTGTTACTTTTTTACTTGAACTGTGTCAGACCAATATGGCTACCTACCATTAAGTACAGTTATCTCCTTGCCTTGAATATCCTGCTTTTCAGTGCCAGATTAGGATAGTCCTCTGTCAGAAGACAAGCACAGGATTAGGCAGCACATCATCATTATAAAGAACCATTGGGGTGGGTGTTTCCGCCTGGGATTCCCATGTGCTTTCCTTCTGCTTCTCCTGCTCTCTCCATGCAATGTGAGGCATGTAGACAGAGGTCCATCTCCCAGAACAGGAGCTTCCCTGAGCACCCATTCAGCTGACCCCAAGCACCAAGCTTTGTCAATAGTTCTCTGACTGACCCAGACCACAGTCCCTGGAAAAGATGAAGGCCTGGGTCTCCCAAAATAGTCCATATGGACCTCCTGAGGTCAGCGGGACTGTGAAGGTGATTCATGAAGATCTAGAGGTGGAAATGGGGGCAACCACTTGATTTGAAAGGCAGTCTCAGAGGACAACAGTATTCCAAGATCATGCTGTGCTATTAAAGATGATTGAGGATTATGAAAGGTTCCTGATGCATTACTACCATTTGACATCATACCATTTTCATTTCCTAAAAATTGGGAACATGGGTAGGACATGGGAGAATGTAGGAGATGTTGAAATAAGAGAAGGTGCTAATGGCGGTTGATGTGTCCTTTTTTTTCTGTGTTCTCTTTCTTGAAACCCAAACAGGATTTCCTTTATGCCCACTCTGAAAAAGGTGATGGAGGAGACAGAATTGCAGGGGACAGGGCACCTTTCGTTTCATTAGGAATAGCCATTAAAATGTGTGAAATGTGAAATATGCTTCACTGAATGAGCACACATAGTTCACATCAACAAACACAAAAAGGAAAGAACCCATTTAAAGGTATGGAGTGCGGAAAGAGCTTCTCTTTCAATGCAAAACTTAGAACACACCAGCGGACTCACAGAGAGAGAAAACGTTTTAAGTGCAGGGAGTGTGGGAAGAATTTCAGTCAGAGTGGAAACCTTAAATTGAACAAACAGACTCACACAGGGGAGAAACCATATGAATGTATTGAGTGTGGAAAGAGCTTTAGTGATAATGGAAACCTTAGGAAACATCAACGGACTCACACAGGGGAGAAACCATTTAAATGCCTGGAGTGTGGAAAGAGCTTCAGTCAGAGTGGAGACCTTAGACAACATCAACGGACTCACACAGGGGAGAAAACATTTAAATGCATGGAGTGTGCAAAGGACTTCAGTACGAGATCACACCTTAGATCACATCAACGGACTCACACAGGGGAGAAACCATTTAAATGTATGGAGTGTGGAAAGAGTTTTAGTGATAGTGGAAGCCTTAGAACACATCAACGGACTCACACAGGGGAGAAACCATTTGAATGCATGGAGTGTGGAAAGGACTTCAGTCAGAGTGGACACCTTAGATCACATCAACGGACTCACACAGGGGAGAAACCATTTAAATGTATGGAGTGTGGAAAGAGTTTTAGTGATAGTGGAAGCCTTAGAACACATCAACAGAGTCACACAGGGGAGAAACCATTTAAATGCATGGAGTGTGGAAAGGACTTCAGTCAGAGTGGACACCTTAGATCACATCAACGGACTCACACAGGGGAGAAACCATTTAAATGTATGGAGTGTGGAAAGAGTTTTAGTGATCGTGGAAGCCTTAGATCACATCAACGGACTCACACAGGGGAGAAACCATTTGAATGCATGGAGTGTGGAAAGGACTTCAGTCAGAGTGGACACCTTAGAAATCATCAACGGACTCACACAGGGGAGAAAACATTTAAATGTGTGGAGTGTGGAAAGACGTTCCTTTGTAATACAGGCCTTAAATCACATCAACGGACTCACACAGGGGAGAAACCATTTACATGTCTGGAGTGTGGAAAGAGCTTCAGTCAGAGTACACACCATAGAAGACATCAACAGACACACACAGGGGAGAAACCATTTAAATGTATCGAGTGTGGAAAGAGTTTCCGTTGTAATACAAGCCTTAGATCACATCAACGGACTCATACAGGGGAGAAACCATTTACTTGTATGGAGTGTGGAAAGAGCTTCAGTTATAGTAGAAACCTGAGAGTACATCAACAAACTCACATTGATAAGAAACTATTTCAATGTATGGACTGCAGCAAGAGCTTTAGTGATAGTGGAAGCCTTAGAACACATCAACGGACTCACACAGGAGAGAAACCATATGAATGTATGGAGTGTGGAAAGAGCTTCACTCAGAGTGCAAACCTTAGATCACATCAACGGACTCACACAGGGGAGAAACCATTTAAATGCATGGAGTGTGGAAAGGACTTCAGTCAGAGTGGAACACTTAAAAAACATCAATGGACTCACACAGGGGAGAAACCACATAAATGTATAGAGTGTGGAAAGAGTTTCCGTTATAATACAAGCCTTAGATCACATCAGCGGACTCATACAGGAGAGAAACCATTTAAATGTATCGAGTGTGGAAAG